ACAAGGATAAAGCTAAAGTATGGACCAGTGTCCCTGCTGAACTTAGATGCAAAAATTTTCTTTTTTTTTTTCTTTTTTTTTTTATTTGACAGAGTTAGATAGGGAGAGAGACAGAGAGAAAGGTCTTCCTTTCATTGGTTCACCCCGCCAAATGGCTGCTACTGCTGGAGCTACGCCTATCCAAAGCCAGGAGCCAGGTACTTCTTCCTGGTCTCCCATGCGGGTGCAGGCGCCCAAGCACTTGGGCCATCCTCCACTGCCCTCCTGGGCCACAGCAGAGAGCTGGACTGGAAAAGGAGCAACCAGGACTAGAACCTGGCACCCATATGGGATGCTGGCGCCGCAGGTGGAGGATTAACCAAGTGAGCCATGGCGCCGGCCACCAGATGCAAAAATTTTCAACAAAATGGTATCCAGTGGAATAAAGTAACATCCAAAAATGGGATTTATTCCATGGCTGCAGGGATGGGTCAAGTTATGCAAATCAGTACTATATCATATCTGCTGGATGAAGGATAAAAATCAGATGTAGAAAAAGCATTTACTAAAACTCAATATCCATTCATGATAAAAACAGTTAAAAAATTAGACATAGTAGGAATATACTTCAACTTAATAATGGGTTTATATGACAAATCCTCAGCCGATGTCATATGGAATCAGGAAAAGCTAAAACCATTTCCTCTAAGATCTGGTGCAGTCTTTTTCCATAAATGGATTTTAGTTCACAACAAGGTGTTATACATTGTATAAAAGACTGGAAGAGAGGAGCTGGTAAGCTCCAAATAAAAAGAAAAGCACATGGAAAGACCAGTTGCCTGATGTGATTTGTTATGCTGTGTATATGTGTAGACATATTGCATTGTACCACATGAAAATATACAAATATAACATATTTATAAGTTGGAGAGCCTCTGAAAGTAATCTGCATTAGTTTCATGCACATTTTAGAATCTTTATGTTTTACTGTTGAAAGTTTGACTACAATTTGTCATGGTGATGATCTTTTCTGGTGATGTTTATTAGGAATTCTGGGCTTCCTATGCTTGAATGTCCCCCCCCCCCTTTTTTTTTTTTCCAAATTAGGAAAGTTTTTTGTTCTTATTTCACTGAATAAGCCTTCTTTCTTTCCACATCTTCAGGAACTCCTAAGTTCCTGTATGTTGGGTTTTATGATAGTACTCAGTAGCAATGAGAAGCATATTCATGCCATAGCTGCAGAAGTTTCTTGTGATATTAAGATTTTTGAAGAGAAATCAAACTGAAATATTAGAATTAAGAATTCAATGTATCAAATAGAAAATACACTGGAAAGCTTTAATGACACACTTTGTGACTCAGAAGTAAGAATATCTGAGCTAAAAGACAAATCTTTGGAAATATCTCAGTCCAAAAAAAAAAAAAGAAATTAGAAAAATTAAAAACAATGTTCAAGAGGTATGGGATACTTCCCATGTTAGTTATTAGTTCAGACTGTATTTCAATTAGGGTTTATCAAGGAAAATTTTGGATTTTACTTCATGATGTTTCTTCTACTTAAATTGTAGCTACAAAATATTTTTATTACCATAATAATGTGTAGTTTATGCTTTCTGTATTCCCTAGAAGTTTCATTTTCTAAACATAAGGAATAGTGGTATACTTGACAATCACTGCTAATTTTCCTAGAGCCTTCTTGAAGAAGTTTGATGGGAAAATTGAAGTGTTCACTTTTGTCATAGAGCACTGTGTCCATACAGAGTTAGTAACAGTTATGACCTTGTGTTATACAAAATATTTAACATGCCTTATACGAGAATTGTGAGCTTCTATAAGATAATTCCTACATTCTTCCCTCTTTGTATCCACATATCCTATCCCAATATTTCATGTCAAGTCATTCTCAATAAATGTTTGTGTTTTAAAATTTCTGAGCTTGATTTTTGTATTTTGATTACTTGCAACTGCTCTGCAACTTTGTAGCTTTTTTTAGAAATGTGTTCTGAGATTTGGGTTGGTGGCTGTGTCCATACAAGTTGTAAAGTCCTTTTGCTGTTCCCATTAAAATAGTTTTTCCATGTTATTTACTAGTTTATCTGTAATTCCGGTGTCATTCTGGCATCTATTTATCTACTTATATATGATTTATACTGCTATAAGTATATCTTATTTATTCAGAAATTTCATATTCATTAATTATCTGTTTCCTTTATTTGAATGCTGCTTCACTTTTCTGTTTTCATCAGAGGTCAATAAGCATAAGAGAAAAACTCCAAATAAGACAAATTTATGATTTAATAGATTTTCATACATGTTAAAAGCTGGAAAAATATTTTTGGAATGCCCATATTAATTATTAGTGTAAAACCTTCAAATTGTTTTAGCATAGTAAATTTTACTTTAAATTTTACTTGACCATGTTTTTCTACCTAAATTGCTTTAGCTATATAATATTTCTATTACAGTTAATCATATAGTGCAATTAGTACTTTCTGTATTCTCTGGAAAATTCATTTTCTAAACCTAACTTAAGAAATTATGGAATGCTTTTCAACCACTTCTATTTTACCTAGAGCATTCTTGGGAAAATTTGATAGGAAAATCAAGTTCTTCAATAATACCTCTTTTATTATTTAAAGAATAAATTTTAAAAGAAAGCCATGACTCATGCAAATATAAAGTGAACATGTGTCACAGGTTTTATTTCACTCATCAAATTAGAAGGAACTACCATGGCAAACTCTTTTGAAAGAAAATTGGAAGAACAGGCATTTCTATAGGCAATCAGGAATGCTGAAATGAATTTGTTAGCAGATGCAAAATTGGTCAATATCCTCATGGCAGTAAAAAATAATTTTTTAGAATCCTGTCTTCCAGCAAGTAGAAATCAATTGAAAAAATCTGTTTTTATCTTTTATAGACACCAATCAACTGCTTTTCAGTTTTCTATAACTTACAAAATTGTAAAAGAACCCAGTGAAAGTCACTGAGGAGTGCAGAGCCTTATAGAATCAGATAATTCCAGTGGATACAAAGGATCTTTTAGAGAGTGACCAGCACTTCACTGAAAACTCACCTGGTAATCTTCTTGTCCATTTCAAAATCTTTCATCATGCTTGCCTTTCTTCGTAATTCCAACATCATCACTCCTTTCTTGACTCCCTGTGAGGTGTGGCCTCTCCCTCCATGCTTCTCTGCCAGGGGAAATAATTTACAGCGTGAGGTTTTGAGAATGCAATTTGAAGACCCAGTTTTGCTAGGGTCTTCCTAATATGTGAATTGGTAGAACCCTAGAGAATTGAGAAAAGAAAAGGTGAACTATGGACACTTAAAAGTTGGTGCGACTCAAACTGCTAGTCAGAAAATTTCCAGAGAATGACATTAAGATGCCATGTTGTCTACCTTTTATAGTATCTCCCTACATTTCTGGTACTCAGCACTGATTAGAGAGCACTTGTTTATGCACTGACATTTTCTCTTTTGATGTTCATTGAATTCTGTACATTAACCCAGTGTTAATTGCTGATTCTGCTACTTAAAGAATAAGCCAAGGTGTAGAAAAGTAAGTTGTTTAAGGTTGTGTACCAATAAGTGGCAGAGAGGATTATACTTAGGTTTTTTTGAACATCATCCATTTCTTCTGTTAAGATTTATTTGTTTGAAAGGCAGAGTTAGAGAGAGAGAGAGAGAGGAGTGGAGAGACACACTCCCCAAATGACTGCAACAGCCAGGGCTGGGCCAGGCCAAAACCAGGAGCCTGGAAATCCATCTGGGTCTCCCACATAGGGGCAAGGTCCCAAGCACTTGAGCTATCTTCTGCTGTTTTACCAGGTGCGTTAGTAGAGAGCTGGATTGGTAGGGGAGCAGCCAGGACTCTGACTGGTGCTCCTATGGGATGCTGGGATCCTAAGCTGCCACTTAACTTGATGCATTACAATGCCTAACCCATATACCCCTGATTTCTAATCCAGTTAATATAGAAGGAATAAATCTTAAGAATGAATTATTTACAAAGTTGATGTTTTATTTTTAGTTGCTAGTGCTTTGCTTTTTGAGAGAAAAACTATAAAATAGTTGATGAATGGCTGAAGGATACGGAAAATAACTACAATTTCTCCATTTTCTTTTGTATATTTTAATTAAATGGTACTTGCATTTATGTCCCCAACTCCTCTTTGGTAAGATAACAGTTGTAGTTTATCCTATTTAGATGCGTTGATAAAATGTGCCTTACTTAGTAGTAGCTGCTCTTGGTTTCAATTCCTTTCTTAGCTTTTAAGTAGTTTAATAGTTTCTTGGACAGAGGGACACATATATACACTTGGAAATGGTTATATTGTAGTTTTATTGAAATGTGGGGATGAAGGATGCCTTTCAATCATAAATAATCTTTCGTAAGGCTTGTAAGACAAAATATGTATTGCTCTTTATATTTTGCAATGAAAAAATAGCCACAGGGAGTATTTTTTTCTCAGTGATATTGTAAAACTTTTCATTCTACTGGAAGAATGTGATTTTATTTGTCTGATTTATTTTGTATATTAAAGTATAGTAGAACTTGACTTTTTTTGGAAATGCAGCATAAAGATACACACAAATTTTTTATGAATTTAACAAGTACTATATAGAAGTGTATAGACACTATGACTGAATATAATATTTGGTTTGAGTTTCTGCTCAAAATTGTTTTCTGTTAGGGACAGCATTTTCCTATATATATATATCATTAGGCAATAATGATTACTTTAGATCTTCCAAAGCTGGCACTACTGTACTGGCTTTATTCCAAAGATACCTGGAAATGTATACTTTGAATTACTGAGATTGAATGTAGGAAAAATATGGTATTGTCTACCAGCCATTAATGTTAATATGAAAATATTCATTGATGTTTTTCACCTTGCCAGTCTCTTCTGTTGTAGCACTGATGGCTTAAGTGTACAATTGAAACATTGTTCTTTGTCTTAAGGATTTGCTCTTATAAAATTCTGTAGTTAAATAAATATTTTTTTCTTTTTCAGGTTCGAGTCAACTACTATTTAATAAAATGAAATATGTAGAATATACTCGATGTAATAAAACTGTTGTTATTCCATGCTGTGCTATCAATATGGAGGCAGAAAAGATTAGTGAATTATTTATAAAATGGAGATATAAAGGAAATGTGATTTTAACCTTTGATGGACTTCTAAACATGACCACTAAGTTCAATAACTTTACAACTGCAAAAATTGATGTCTCGAAATTACTAAAAGGAGATGCTTCTTTGGAGATGGATATGAGTGATGCTCTCTTAGGAAACTACACATGTGAAATTACAGAATTATCCAGAGAAGGTCAAACAACTGTAGAACTAAAACACCGTACTGGTAAGTGCTGTGGTTTGACTATGGTTTATGCCCTCCCAAACCCATGATTGCCACTCTGGCAGTGTTGAGAGGTGGTACTTTAAGAGGCGATTAGATCAGAAAGAGGGATTAATGCCTTTCTCAAGGGAACTGGTTAATTCTCATAGGAGTGTTTAGTTAATCACCAGAGTGGGATGTTGGGCAGTGAGTTGGCCATCTTTTTTTTCTTATTCCCACACATTTGTGTCCTCTCCTGGCCTCTGCCAAATTATAACAGTCCAAGAGTCTGATCAGATGCCAAACAGATGCTAGAGCCACGTTCTTGGACTTTCCAGTCTTCACAATCATGAGCCAAAATGAGGCTCATTTTTTTTTAAATAAATTACCCAATCTAAGGTATTCTGTTATAGCAACAGAAAAAGACAAAGGGAATAAAACTTCTATGAAACCTTCCTTTTTATTCATCTTGCTATAGACTGATCCTAATAGAAAGGGAGCAAAATAGGCCTATGACCTTCTTTGAATCTAATACAGATGGTTAATAATAAATGTGGTGTAATGTTGATCAGCTTTAAAATCATGGGGGAGTTCTGTCACGAGTCTGGAACTTTTGAGAGCTATTCTCTTTGGGAATTTGTTCCTGGGGTCATCTGCTCTGTACTCTGCGTTTCTGTTTGCTGTCATCAAAAGTTCTTTCTTGCATGTGATGAATTCTCAAGCCTCTTTCCAATTATTTTTAGAATGTGCTTTGTAACCTTACATGATGACCCAAGGTTGGCAAGTCCCAGCTCTGCTGCCTCAGAAAAGAATAGGTTAAAAGGAGAAATGAGATTAACAATCAGATTAGCAGTTTTCTGTGCCTATTGTTGCTTTGATGTTCATTTTCTTGGCCAAGATGTAGGAGAGTTGGAGATCTAATTTAATGTATTTGAATTTGCCATGATTCTATCTTTTTCCCCCCACAAACTTTGGTTGGTGAGTTGTATAAAGTAGTAAAGTTAGATGGAGAAGAAAATATTTCTTTTATATTTTTTGTTGTGCTAGTTTATCTCTTCAATCATAGAAAGACATTCTGACTTTCTATTTGAGTGCTCTGTTTGGAATCACCAGGCATATTACTGATATCAGGACTGACAACACTTTGAAACCCTCTGCTTCTTGTAGGATCAGCATGGTTTTGTTTGATCCACCTTGTCTTCTGTTCTTCCAGTTTTTACTGCTATAAAATGCTTGTTCCTAGTCTGAGACTGCGATAGCTTGATAAACTATTTTGACATTGCTTGGGGGTGGATATTGAAGAGATCTGGGTCATATCCCTTCAGCAACTTGGTCTTCACCTGTGATCTTGGGCAGTACTTCACTGAGTCCCAACTTCCTTATTTCTAAGGTAAGGATGAAAATAGTAACTTGGATTTGTATATTCTACTAAGTCTAATGAGTATCAGTTGGGAAACCAGGTGTTCAAGTTCATTGGAGACCTAAGTGTGTTGCAAATGCTAGTAGTCTTCCCGAGATGTTTATGTGATGAAATAAAGTATTAAGTTGCTGAAGCTGACCCGGAGTCTTAGGTAAAAGACCTGGTTTATGCAAGGAGGAATGGTAAGGGATGGCTCAGAAGGCAAGAAGGATTAGGTAGTCTTTCTGGTCAGAAATGTTGCTTACATTAGAACTAGTACTATGTATATAAATTTGGGCTAGGGAGCTTTTATCAAATGTGTATATTTTAGGAGAGCCCTGCTCAGCCATATGCACTGGGATGGACTTGAGTAAGATAATCTAACAGTTGAAATTCTTCTGTGGAGTATAGTCTCCTGGATATGGAAGAAGATGACATGGGGGAATAGTAACATGGGAGGATTGTATAGGTCATTGAGGGGCAAACTGGTAGCCAGAAGATGGAATGAAAATGAATGGGAGGGGCCAGCGCTGTGGCACAGTGGGTTAAAGCCCCGGTCTGCAGCGTCGGCATCCCTTATGGGCACTGGTTCTAGTCCCGGTTGCTCCTCTTCTGATCCAGCCCTCTGCTATGGCCTAGGAAGGCAGTAGAAGATGACCCAAGTCCTTGGACCCCTGCACCCACGTGAGAGACCTGGAAGAAGCTCCTGGCTCCTGGCTTCGGATCAGCTCAGCTCTGGCCATTGTGGTCATTTGGGGAATGAAGCAGTGGAATGGAAGACCTCTCTCTCTCTCTGGCTCTACCTCTCTTTCTAACTCTGTCTGTTTTGTTTTTTTTTTTTTTTTTTTTTTTTTTTTTTTGACAGGCAGACTGGACAGTGAGAGAGAGAGACAGAGAGAAAGTCTTCCTTTTGCCGTTGGTTCACCTTCCAATGGCTGCCGCGGCCGGCGCGCTGCGGCCGGTGTACCGCGCTGATCCGAAGGCAGGAGCCAGGTGCTTCTCCTGGTCTCCCATGGGGTGCAGGGCCCAAGCACTTGGGCCATCCTCCACTGCACTCCCTGGCCACAGCAGAGAGCTGGACTGGAAGAGGGGCAACCGGGACAGAATCCGGTGCTCCGACCGGGACTAGAACCTGGTGTGCCGGCACCGCAAGGCGGAGGATTAGCCTAATGAGCCGTGGCGCCGGCCTGTAACTCTTTCAAATAAATAAAATAATTCTTTTTTTTAAAAAAAAAGAAAATGGGAAAGGAAAACCTGATGACAAAGACATGGTTTATAATTTCACATGTGAGTGTTTTTATTTTTCTTTGTTTTCAAAATGTCCTATAAAAATATAAGTTAACTTTTTAAGCCATTAAAATAGGAAAGCTTAGTTTCATTATAGAGGATATAGAAAATGTTACCAAAAGTTTGAGACACTTGAAACATTTACATTTGTTTCGATATTTTGAAGTAATTATGGATCCCACAGGAAGATTCAAGGGCAAGATTTGCTGTGTACCCTTTACCCAGTCTTCTACAATGGTTACATCTTATGTAAAATGTCAGTTTGAAGACCAGGACATTCACTATAATATAGTGTGTATCTGGTTTTCTATGATTTTATCCAATACCCTTTTGTGTAATTAACATCCCGGTCTGGATACAGTGTTACCCACCAACTGAGACATCTTCCTTACGTTAAGGGTTCATAGCCATACCTCTGTCTCCCAGTGTACCTAATGTGGCTAGCAATAATTTTTCTTCTACAGCTATCTTTTTGTCCTTTTGGTAATATTATACACATGAAATGATTAAGTAATTGACCTTTTGAGGTTAACTTTTATACTTTAGGGCTATAACAAGTGAAAAAGCTATGAACAGTTGACATGAACATAGGCATAATTTCCATTTCTTTGGGGGTAAATTCCTAAGACTTTGATTACTGAGTTATATAGTAAGTATATGTTTACTTTTTAAAGAATGTCCAAAGTGTTTTCCGTAATGGCTTTCCAATTTACATTCCCATTAGCAACATAACAGTAGGTCACTGTTTCCACATCTTCTCATCAACATTTGGTGCCACTATTTAACACCCATTTTTGACTTAAAAAATACATATAATAAATTGAAAATTCCTATGTACAAAAAGATTAGATAGGACATAATTCTTACTGTGGAATATGAATTTGTTGTAATAATGACACTTCCCTATCGTGTAGTTTGGGGATTGAGGCATTGGAAACCTTTTTTTTTTTTTTTTTTTTTTTAACAGGCAGAGTTAGAGAGACAGAGAAAAAGGTCTTCCTTCTGTTGGTTCACCCCCCCAAAATGGCTGCCATGGCTGGCGCGCTGCACCGATCCGAAGCTAGGAGCCAGGTGCTTCCTCCTGGTCTCCCATGCGGGTGCAGTGCCCAAGCACTTGGGCCATCCTCCACTGCCTTCCCAGGCCACAGCAGAGAGCTGGACTGGAAGAGGAGCAACTGGGAAAGAACCGGTGCCCCAACTGGGACTAGAACCTGGAGTGCCGGCGCCGCAGGCAGAGGGTTAGCCTAGTGAGCTGCGGCGCTGGCTGTAAACCATTTTTATTATGTTATAGTTTTTTTGCAAACACAGATAAAATAGAACATTAATAAAAAGCAAGTAATGCTGACCATTTTTATGCTCTATTTTGAATACATAATACAAATACATAGAAACACTGTATTATATAGGTTTATATAACTCTGGTGCTTATGTACATTACCAGGCAAAGAACATAGGAGTTAATTTAGGAGTCTTTCTCTACACTTTGCCATTTTCTAGCTTCAGAAAACTTAGAAAAGAAATATATAGCTCTAATTTTTTTATTAACAAAATGAGAAAAATGCCTCCATCACAGGCACTGTACTGGGCAATATGGGTTCCGTGATGACTAAGACATTATCCTGATTTTAGGAAAATGATCATACTGCAAATAAGAGTGAAAACCTGAATATTTATTTCAGTCTATGCCAGATGTGTTAAGTATGCTATGTCCTGTGATCTTCTCAGGAACTCCAGGAGGTTGAGGGAAGTTTTACTACATAATGAATGGGCAAACATAAAAATTCAAGGTTAAAGTCATAGCTAGGATGTTAATCTTGAGTTCTCTATCTTCAAAACCAAGTATTTTTACCACCATGGTGTACTGTTCCTGTGAAAACACCTTGTAAATAAACAAATACTAAAAGTACATAATTTTAGTTTTAAATTAGTTATGACTATTTCTATCTCTTTTTTAATGATATAAAAATATGAGTTCTTAAAACATATTTTTCTGTAAGGTATTAAGTTTGTTTTAAAGCCATTAGCTCAAGATCAACAGATTTGCTAACATTGTCAGCATGAGACACACTGTGTTCATAATGATAACATGAAGGCATTGTAAGAACCTTCTGTTAGTTTTCTACTGTAGTTTAACAAATAACCATACTGAATGTGTGCCACGGACTTTTCTCAGCAACTAGGGTTGTACCCATTCCTTGCCACATGGCCCCTTGCATATTTATATTCAGTAAAGGAGGATTTTCCCCTTGCTGAGTCTCTCCCATGTGTTGAGTTTATCTTGCCAGGAAGATCTCAGAACTTTTTAAAATCCCTAATCTTTGGGGGTATTTTGGGCCCC